ACAGAGAAGTTATAAGTACAGAATTTAAAACAAAATCTCTTCCTTACCTAATTTTACCTAATTTCTTTGTTTAATCTCTTTGTGTTGGTGTGCCCATGTTTCCCTTGCTTCTTCCCACACCATTTGGGACAAAGCATTAATGACTTTATGTTTTATGTTTTAGCTTCCCCTTTTCCCCTCCTTCCCTTCGTTTTATCAAACTGGAATTATTAAACAGCAGCAGATAACTTGTGTTAGATCACTATTAAAGCACAAATTAGGAAGCTGGGCACATGCCTTTAATTCCAGTACTCCAGAGGCAGGTGTATCTCTGTAAATTTGAGGCTGCAGAATGAGTTCTAGAAAAGCAAAGGTTACATAGAGAAACCCTTCTCAAACAACAACAACAACAAACCACTTAGGAATGGATCCTCAGGGCAGCATTTATCCAACTAAAACTCTAAGTTTTTTCATGGACTTTAAAAGTTGCTAAAAATATATCTGTATGAATAAATAATGAATAAACTGGAATGTGAAATAGTTTCAGGTGAATAATTGAGTAGACAAAATAGTAGGAAAGGACCTTATGCCTCTGCTTTCCCTCCCCTCCCTTTTCTTCCTCTTCCCCCCTCCTCCTTTTCTCCCCCTTGCCTTGCCTACTCCCCTTACCTTTCTCTTTTCTTCCTGTTCTCTCTTCTCCCCCTTTCTTTCCTTCTTTCCTCTTCTCTCCCCTCTTTCTCCTTCCCTCCCTTCCCCCTTTTCCCCTGTCATCCTTCCCTTTCCTTCTCCCTCCCCTCCCTTGCCCTCCTTCCTCTCCTATTTCCTTGCCTTCTAGTCTGTGCTAGAACAATCTCTTGGGTTTGTACAAGCTGTGTAAATCCTATTTTTTTGTTGCTGTTGTTGCTCTTAAGTTTTTTGAGACAGGTTTTTGTTGTTGTTGCTTTTGAGTTTTTTAAGTTTTTTTTCTCACTATGTATCCTTGTCCTGGAACTCAAAATATAGACAGGCTGCCTCAAACTCACAGAAATCTATCTGCCTGCCTCTGGCTTTTGAACAGTGGATTAAGCCACACACCACCATGCCTGTCTTTCTCCAGTTTTTTTTTTTTTTTTTTTTTTGAGACAATCTCATGTAGCCAAGGCTGGTTTGAAACTAACTGAAGATGGCCTTGAACTCCTTATACTCTGATTTCAGCTGCCAGGTGTTAGCATCAGCATCACAGAAGAACACTTTTTTTTTGGTTTCTTGAGACAGGGTTTCTCTTTATAGCCCGGGCTGTCTTGGAACTCACTCTGTAGACTAGGCTGGCCCCGAACTCAGAAATCTGCCTGCCTCTGCCTCCCAAGTGGTGGGGATTAAAGGCGTGTGCCACTACTGCCAGGCTACACTTTTCAATTCTAGAGGCTTATTAATTGTAGATGACATACATTTCTTCTTGTACCTTAAAATAGTGGCAACCTAATTGCAGCCAATATAAAAATAATGCTTTTATAGTCTAATATTAACATATTTTTCTTTTCTTTCAGCTGGGAATGGAGGAAGAAGATGTGATTGAAGTTTATCAGGAACAAACGGGGGGTCACTCGACGGTTTAGATAATTCTTTTTATTTTTTATTTTTTCCTTTTCCCTCAATCCTTTTTTATTTTTAAAAATAGTTCTTTTGTAATGTGGTGTTCAAAATGAAAATTGAATACTGGCACTCCATCTCTTAGAATATCTGGTAATCTGAATTCTAGTGTTCAATATTCATTATTGGTTGTTTTTGTTGTGCTGATTTTTGGTGATCAGACCTCAGCTCCCTTAATATTGCCCTTCTTCTTTTAAGAAATTTCATGTGTGCACAGAGAGGCCACCCTTTTCAGGACTGTGCATTTTCAGGTTTGTGATGATAAAAAGATCAACAAATGGAGCTTTCCTATGACCTTTCGATTGGCTCTGAAGTTCCAGCATGTGGTTGCTTCACTCCTGGACTGTGATTTTCAGTGGGAGATGGAAATTTTTCAGAGAACTGAACTGTGGAAAGTGACCTTTCCTCATAAAATCTGAGGGTATGGACCAAAAGAAGAACATCATGTTTGTAGTCAAGATGACAGATAGAGTGAGAGTAACAGCTAACTCCAAAGGTGGCTTCACTGGAGAGAAAGAAAGTGTCTTGAGCAAGACGGTATTGTCAGAAGATCCCAGGAAAGTTCTAATTTTCATCAGCAGTTAATAAAGTTACTCATACAGAAGTGTACACAACAGACACTGCTCCTTTTGATTCTGTTTGTACTTTTTGGCCTGGGACATGGGTTTTCAAGGGACATTGTCTGTACCAGCTTCATTAAAATAAACAATATTTGTAAAAACCGTACTAAAGCTCCTTTTATTTTAGCCATGTGGGGAAAAAGTGAAAATGCCCCAGATAGGATTTTCTTTCATGAGTATTTCTTTAGTACTGTACAGTAATGACTTCAATGCATTTAATGCTTTGAAGCATTAAAGTTTCTAGAATGCCTTCTGATGATCACAATACCTTTTTAAAGACTCTGTGAGTCCCAAGGACTCACAGAATTTAGTATATATATGTACACATCCAGTTTATGGTATCTAAAATACAATGCTATCTGATGACTTTAGCAAGTAAAACCTATTGCATGTGCATTTTATAAACTGTTAAAGCTTACATACTCTTCTCAGGTAACTTGCTCAAAAGGCAGATTGCCTTGAGAAACTCTTACATTTGACCCTAGCTTTAAGATTATTTGTATTGTACAAATTAAGAGGTTTTTTAGTCTGTCACCTGGCATTTACTACTATGATTTTAAATACTAACTGGAAGTTAGGTTCAATTGTAGAAAATCTTCTGAGCTGTATCATTTGTCAAGATCAAACAACAGACCTGATTGGTTATTTGAGCTATCCAGAATTCATGACTACATAGTTAAACATAATTTTGTTCGCATTTCTAAATGAATTCTCAGCATTTAGTGGTAGAATTAAGTTGTAGAAAATAACTGTGTATGTGTGTAAGTCGTGTGTCTTCTAAAGTCATTATACTCTAAAAATCTGCTCAACTGATATTCTAGTGCAGTTAAAATAGATACTTGGAAGCAAAATTTAATAGATGATATTTGGAAAGGACCCTAAATATTACTTAGGGTCCTTTCCAAATATCTAGTGACCATTCTATGTGGTGCAGGAGTGCAGCATCCTAGATTTGCAAAAGAAGAGAGAAGATAAAAGGAGCAGTGGCAGTTTCCTTGCATGTGGATTCTTGAATATGTATTGATTGTCTGGCTAAGTATTAATGGCTGCATGTAGGGTTGGCAAGCAGAAAATGGGGTGACATTTAAATTCAAAGGTCTTATCCATAGTGTTTGGCTATTTCTATTTTACATGAAACAAGAAGTTACTCCTACAGTATAGAATGGAAAATTAGCTAAGTTTCTAGGGTGGAGAAGTATAATTCCTGTATGAAGCAAGTAACTTGAGTAATAGTCCCCAAAAATACAAGGTATTTGCTTTGTACAGAAATTGGAGGGAATTAATTACCTGTGAACACTGCTATCTATTTGTGGACAGTGATGATTAAATGTTCATTTTTATCTTGCCTGGATTTAAACTCATTCTGGAAAGACCTTTGGGTGTGTGTCTAGAAAGGTTTGAGGTGGGAGTTCCTAACTTGGGTGTGGGCCCTGCCATTTTTTGGGGTCCAGGACTGAGTAAAAAGGATAAAGTGAGACAAACTGATTCAGGGTGACTAACTACTTACTCTTTATAGGTGTGTGTGTGTGTGTATGTATGTATCTCCGTCCGTGAAGTAATGAGGCCCTTGGGTGTCAAAGGCAGGCAAATTTCTTAGTTTGAAGGCCAGCTTGGTCTATAAAGAGAGTTCCAGGATAGCCAGAGCCATCACAGAGAGAAACTCTATCTCAACCAAAAACAAAACAAAAACAAATACTGTTTAACATTTTTAATTTCTAACAATCTATTAATGTGTACCCTGTGATACTTTGTTAAAAGAGATTATTATTAGACATGTAAAGAGTTGTTAAATGACTTGAGACTTCTGATACGATGTAAAGAGTTGTTAAATGACTTGAGACTTCTGATACGATGATTAGAGTTTGATGAGTAGGTTCTTCGAGGCACAGTTGGGAATAAAATCTCAAGGATCAAAAATAATGATGAAGCCGGGCAGTGGTGGCGCACGCCTTTAATCTCAGCACTTGGGAGGCAGAGACAGGCGGATTTCTGAGTTCGAGGCCAGCCTGGTCTACAGAGTGAGTGCCAGAACAGCCAGAACTACACAGAGAAACCCTGTCTCAAAAAACAAAACAAAACAAAAAAAAAAGGATGAAATTTCTGAGGTGATGAAATAGTTCTATTTTTTTTTGCAGATGTAGTCCCCAGCCACTACATATGGCCATTGAGCACTTAACTATGGCTAGTATGATGGAACAATGTTTTAGCTTTAACAGCTATACACTAGCAGGTGGCTCCCTTACTCAAACATGCTACTCTAGATCTGTACTTTGAAGATTGAGAGAATTTCCTTACAAAACAGCTCATTTTGGTTCGTTGAACTTGTATCAAGTGATTCTGAACATGCCTTTGAAGTTTGTGTTAGATTTTCAGGATGAAATTGTGCTTTTATCTTACAGAGGAGTATGATTAGCTCCTCTTAGCTTATCCAGAATTCTTGTATGACAATTTTTATTTACCATCAACTCTTGAACACACTGAAATACACAGAATATTCTAAGACTTAGTATCTCCAACTGGAATTATGTAATGGTAGTTTAGACACCAAGGCTTTTGAACTTATGTAGTCCTAAAGAAAACAAAATGGCTTAAGTAAGTGAAAAGTTAATTGGATCAGTATGTGAGTGCAGGAATGCTGGGAATAGAGAGGTAAAGTCCTACGGTATGGTTGAGATGACATGGCACTAACAGAGCTCAGGTTGGAGCTTTATTATAGAAATATAGCTTTTTTTTCTGTCACCACTTCTCAACTTACTTTTTTTTCTTGTAGCCTTATGGCTTGGGGATTTGTAGGGACTGGAAATAGGAGTAGACCCATGGTCTGGAAATGTTCTGTGTCCACTGTAGACCACTGGCTTCTTTAGAGAGTTCTTGATGAAAATGAAGGTGTTTCTCCAAAGCAGCTTTCTGCCTAAGGAGACAACCCCACCCCCAATTCAAAAAATGATTAAGCATCCAGTCTTGTAAATTGGTAGAGTTTTAGATTTGGGTTGGGTGATTACTGGATTTGGGCTGTTTGTTATGTTTTAGTGGAAGATCAGTTGGGAGCATCATGAGATTCCTATTAGAAAAGTAAAAAGGAAGACAATTTTCAGTTCTTAAACTTGTGTTGCTGGGAGAGACTCGCTTGCTTGCTTGCTTTATTTATTTATTTAGTTTGTTTGTTTGTTTGTGATAGTTTATCTCAGGGTAACCCCTGGCTGGCTGTCCTGGAACTTGCTACTTAGACCAGTTGCCCTGGGAACTCACGGAGATCTGTCTCTGCCTCTGCTTCCTAAGTGTTGAGATTTGATTCCTTTGCTTTAGACTTGAGAAAACAGAGCAGTTAAAATACAGGGACAGGTGTCACAGATGCAGATGAAGTCAAGTTAGTTGGGACTGGGTGACACCTTGGTGGAGTGAGACCACCCACTCATCCTTTAGTTACGTGGTTTCCTTCTCTCAGCTACCTGGACTAGTTTTATATAATTAATCACTTCAGTACCTCCATGATGATGGTCAGTTTTTCTTGGAAATTTGGGGTCCTAGTAGCTTGCTTTTTGTCTCATCATTATTGTCATGACATACGATGCTTGCACTGCTGAAGCTGAATTAGGATTCTTCCAATAATCTATTTTGTAATTCCCCTAATGGCTGTAGAAAGTCCAGGGAAGGACCCACTCAAGGTTAATGAAAAGTCTTGAGAGTTTTGGTGCCTTCTCTTTCTGGACCTCTTAAAGAGTATTATAGACAATTTAATTAGTGGAAAATTATAACTCAGGGGGTGAAGTGTTTATATTTCATGTTGGAAACATGATTTTCCAGGCTGTCCCTCTATCTTTCAAGAGGTTGTACCTCTTCTGTCAGTTTTGAGACAGAATCTTACTGCAGCTTCCTCCGTAGTTTTCCAAGTAGACAGCCTTCCTGCTTCTGCCTCCCAAGTGCTGGGATTATAGGCCTGAACCACCACACCCAGCTCACCTTTTCAGTGTTTTATGATTGTAAATGGTCAAATAATGCTCTTGGCCCCAGCTAACTTTGTATAGTTCCTCCTACTGACACTCATTAGGTTCCAGTAATGCTGAGCTTCACATTCACTCAGCGTTGAGTCTGTCTCATGGCTTTTCTCACAGTGCTCACTCACTGTTGTTTCCTGGGATACTCACCTACATTCTTGTATGCTTAACTCTATATTATTAAAAATCTCACCCTTTATCACATTCCTTATGAGAGGCCTTGCTCTGGACTACCAATCTAAAATAGGCTTCCTGTCACAATGTAAAGGGTTTCTGCATAGCATTTGTTGCTAGGTTAAAAAGCAAAACATTTTCTTTTTCAGTACCTCTTAATCCTTAACCCTAGAATGTAGATACCTACTTCTGAATTCCTAGAGTCTACAATTTGCATAATGGGTCTTGCTTGGTATTGGCTATTTATTGGTCCTGATCGAGATCATCTCTTTCACTGGGGAGTTAAACCCAGCACACCGTGCAAATTCTATCACCCTGCAGTACATTAGCCCTGGTATTCATTTTTGTTGTTTTGACTTGGGATTCACTTTTATCTGTAAACCAGAAGATCAAGATAAATGCTTTCTAAATCAAGCTTCAGTACAAATTCCATAAACCAAGATAGAATCCTGCGCTGTTTGTAGCTGAAGAATGGCTCTGTGTTTTGGTCTTTCTAGCCATGTTGTAGGTGTTGAGAGAACTGCTTGCTTAAAGGCAGTGGTCAGCATTGGCACTGAGCCTTCAAGCCTCAGAAAAAGCCCTGACAGCAGTTGTCCCCCATCCAAGTACCTTATTTGCTCCTGGGCTAGTTTTGTGGCTTCTTCCAGAGCTAGCTTTGCTGCTTCCTCTTCCTGTTTCCTCCTTTCCTCAGCCTCCTGCCTAGCTTTCTCTTCTGCTGCTTGTTTCTGCCTCTGGTACTCCAGCCGTTCTTCCTCAGCCATCTCCATCAGGCGTTTCTGTTCATCTGCTAACTGCATCTCCAGTTCCTTCTGCCTTTGCTTCTCTGCCTCTGCAGAATAGAAAGAGCTGGGCTCAGCCGGGGCATCACTAGAGCAGCTGATATTTCTGGTCTACCCTTTTAATCTGCTAGAGTCTCTGTGTGTTTACTAATCCAAGTCCCCTGTTAAAGCACCAATGCACATTAAAAACCTTAGGGAAGATTTTTCCAGAGTCTGTTGAGTTCACAGGATAGTGTGCTGTTGTATAGGGAGGAGTGTCAGATCAGCTTCTAGAGTGCTTACTTAACTAGATGCTCTAGAGGAAATCAGCATCATCTGCTGAACCTTCTACCTTCATCCTGAAAAGTATGCTGGATTATCTGACAGATTTATCTGATCCACACTGAAGGCGTGTCTGAGGCCCTCCATGTGTGTGTGATTGTCTCTACCTGCACGAGGAAGAGAGCATGTAAAGAAGTTTGAGCTGACAGAGCAGTTATTGAACCGGGACTTCTATCCTGTAATTATTTCCACACGAGTCTCCCGTTCATATTCCATCCCTTCATGTCAACCCACTATAGCCAGACATGATTATCATTCTGGAACAAAACTTAGCTTTGTGCACTAAGGCCTAGGATAGGAATAAAACTGCTTGAAGTGGGTTTAAAATATTTTTGGTGTAAGGGATGGGAGATACAAAAGGCTCAGGAATTCTCTCACCAGCCCTCTCCGCCTCCTCTTGCTGCTTTTTTCTCTGGATTTCTTGCAGTTTCCTGCGGAGCTCCTCTTGCTGCTGCCGGGCTCTCTCCCGGGCTGCCTGCAACTGGAGCCTCCGTTTTCTCTCTGCTTCCTCCTGCTGCTGCCGTTCTTCCTCCAGTCTCTGCTTTCTCAGGCTGAGAACACAGAAGGTGTCAGAGGAATGGCAGAAAACTGGCCTAACTAACTGACAATTGACTTTATAGCCTTCAGGCCCCAGGAAGTGCCCCTTCAGAGAACAGGTTTTTTACAGTCTGGATTGAAGGGTGGAGAGGTCTAGAAGAAGAAATCTAGAAGTTTCAGCTCAGCGCTGTCGCCAGGATTTAAGAGCCTTAAATTCTCTGCACTTTCTTTTCTATTCTTTAAAAAAAACATTTCGTAAAGTGTGAATTTTGAAATTTTTGCCTCATGGGGTTGTAGAGAAAAAGTTAGAGTGAGGACAAGTGAAGGGACCAGTGCAGTTCAGGCAGGGGGAGGAGCCTGATAGACTGGGCAGAATCTTAAAGTCTTCCCAGGAATTCCCGTAACTATCCATCTTGACTAACCCACATGATCAAGACAATATCTTAATCTTATCTCTGGTCCAGGCTGTTCCTGTGATTTGGTGTCAGGTCATGAGCCTAGCACTGAGCTGTGTCCCTGGGGAAGGTTTGCCCTGCCTTGTGTCTCTGGGCTGCTGGCCCACCGGATCTCCTCAGTGCGTCTTCTCTGCTCCAGCTCCAGCTCCTCCTTCATCTTCTCTGCTTTTTCCAGCTGCTCCTGATGGAGCCGAGTCAGTTCCTCCTGTTCCCTTCTCCTCCTCTCCACCTCCAGCCACCTCATCTCTGCCTTTTCTATTCGAATTCTGTCCCGAGAAGCCTTCTCTTGCTGCTTCTTATCCTGGAGGGTCTAAGAGACCAGAGTGTTGTCAGTGTAAAGGGCAGACCCAGCTGCGGCCCAGAGAGGGTTTTTTTCTAATCAGATGGAATCCTAAAGCTGATTCCACACTAGCACCGCAGAGGCAGAAACTGCTGCTGCCTGCCCGACTATGGGGTTGGACTGACCTACAATTAAGAGCACAGCTTTTCTGATACAGTCTTCCTCATGGGCTAACAAATTTTGATGATCTAGAAAATTCTGCTCACAGATCAAAATCCTCATCCATTATGCAGAGCAGAATTCTCAGCTGTGGTCTAGGCAACTGAGAAGGTCTAAAGATACTAAAAGGAAAAGGTCCCTGAAATTTTTGGAAAAAACTGCTATTAAATAAATGAGCAGCCGGGTGGTGGTGACGCATGCCTTTAATCCCAGCACTTGGGAGGCAGAGGCAGGCAGATTTCTGAGTTCGAGGCCAGCCTGATCTACAGAGTTAGTTCCAGGACAGCCAGGGCTACACAGAGAAACTCTGTCTTGGGAAAAAAAACCCAAAAATAAATAAATAAATAAAATAAATAAATAAATAAGCAATTATTAAAAATAGTGACAAGAATTTTGAACTTGGAGTCAACAAAACTGAGGTCAAGTCTTGACCCAGTCACTGAATGGTTGCGTAACATCTAGCAACTGGCACTTAACCTGTAGCTTTGGTCTCTAGATCTGCAAACCGAGGCTGATCACGCCTGGTTCATAGCTGTGGATGTAAAGATTGAATGAGGTGCAGCAGTGTTTCCTGTGTGCAGATGTGTCTATAGAGGCGTGGCCTGTGTGCTGTACTGTTTAAGGCTCTAAAATGCAGTTGTGTGTCCTAGTGACGATTCCAACAACAGAAGAGACATGGGCTGAAAGATGATGTATCTGGATGCCATTCTTTTTGATTAATTACAAAGAATCCCAAGAACGATTTTCCTCATTCAATGTTTCTATTCAAACTTGCAACTTAGAATCAAGGCCACCGGAACAAAGCAGCTCATAGAAAGCACCCTGTGAGAACAGGTGTATGTCTGTGAGCTGTCTGGTCCAGCTGTGTACCATGCCCTTTGTAATGTGCCAGGCCAAGGAGAGGCTATGGCTTGGTTCTCACAGCCTGTGTGTCTACCGTTCTCTGTCCCGGTGAGTCCTGTACCTCTCACAGATACTGCCATACCTGCCTCCTATTCTTTAGAGTTGGATACATTCCCTGGCAATTTGGGACATCACAGAATGCCTCACCCACTTCAGAGAGCTGAAGCCTCTTTCTTTGTGTTTTTGATCTGGTCTGGCTTCTAACTAGGGTCAGAAGATACCAAAGTAGAAGACCACTATGTGATAGGGCTGTTTCAGAAACTACAGCCTACTTAGGGACATTTCCCTTACATCTGCAGTTCTGCCAAGTGAGGACAGAACTCCCTCTGGAGAGAATACCTGTCCATACCTTGGAAGGCTCTCCATGGTTTTTCTCCTCTTCAGATTCCATGTGACTAGTGACATCTGTGGCCTGGGTGGGTGATAATCTTCCATCTACAGCAACCTGACTATCCAGACCATCTAGTTCCAGAGAAAGCCACTCAGTGGCAGAGTGTGAGCGGGGTCGCCCAGTTGCAGAGTGCGAGCGGAGGAGCCCACGATGTGAGGTGCCGCCCACTTCCTTGGAATTGGTGATGTCTGACTTGCTCAGCCCTGCTGCCATCTCCACATTCCTCTCTTTATGCGTCCTTTTCATTTTGGTTCCCAGATTCTTTTCTTTTGGAGTTAGCTCTGATTTCTTTTTAGTTTTTGAATGCTTTGGCTTTCCTGGGGGAAACAATTGGGACAGAGGTATGGCTGAGTAGAAGTGTGACCTCTAATTCTGTTTAGTAACTTTTCTGAGACAAGGTCTCTTTATATAGCTCAGGTGTCTCGGAACTCATTATATAGACCAGTCTGGCCTCAAACTCAGAGATCCTTATACCTCTGCCTTTCGAGTGCTGGCATCAGAGGAGTATGCCACACACCCAGCTCTTCAATAACTTTTAAGATGAAGCATACAGTAGGATAGATTGGTGTGCATATCCCTAAATTTACCCCCAAATTCTGGGTGAATAGAATCTGCATTGTGGCCAGGCAGTGGTGGCACACGCCTTTAATCCCAGCACTTGGGAGGCAGAGGCAGGTGGATTTCTGAGTTCGAGGCCAGCCTGGTCTACAGAGTGAGTTCCAGGACAGCCAGGTCTACACAGAGAAACCCTGTCTCGAAAAACCAAACAAAAAAACAAAAAACAAAACAAAACAAAACAAACAAACAAACAAAACAAGAGTCTGCATTGTAACAATGATTTGAGGAAAGCAGCCTAGCGATATATTTAGACCAATAAAGATTCAACCACTCAGCAGAATCACTTAACCACTGCTAAGGTTGCATTCAAGTGGCAGAGCACGTGCTTAGTAAGCAGGGCCTTAGGTTCAATCCCAGCCCCAGAAGTAAAGAAAGATCCCATCTTACCCTGACCTACAAAGGGGCAGGACTCCAGGGGACAATTTCAGCACACCGAAAAGTCCTGCCCTGAGATCACAGCTCTAACTGGGTGAAGTTTAATTCCCTGAGGGTCAAAGGCACTTGTTTTTCCTATTCCTGCCAATGTTAAGGGCTAGACAAATGTAGACTTAGCAAGAGTTTTAATAGCCAACTTTAAAACTAGATTGGCCTCCAGGGATGTATCTAGTGTTGCCCTTGCATCAAATGTGATTTGTTTAAAGGGTCTTCGAACCTTAAAGAGTAGGTGTGAGTTTTAGGCTAACGAGACTTTCAGAAGCATCTGAGAACTCTGTAAGGTACAGAAGGACTGGGAGGTATGAGAAGCATTCCGATTCCCTTTCTGAATGCTTGTCCTACCCGAGCATCCTCTTTCTGAGATGTTTGGGACAAGAAGCATTTCAGATTGGGGATAATACCTGATTTTTAGAATATTTACACATATATAAAATGTGTATAATATAAAATCCTGGAGATGGGAGTCCAGGTCTAAGCACACAATTTGCTAATGCTTCATACACACTTTTGACCTTTAGCCTAAAGGTGATTTTTTATGTTTTTCTTAAAGCAGCAAGGGGTTTTATTCAGAGTCAAAATAAAACTATAGGTCAGATACACTGCAAGACCCGACTTAGAGTGATCACAGCCCTGTGTAGTCTCTTTAGTGAGCTCAGACCCGACTCAGAGTGACCACAGCCCTGTGTAGTATCTTTAGTGAGGTCAGACCCGACTTAGAGTGACCACAGCCCTGTGTAGTATCTTTAGTGAGGTCAGACCCGACTTAGAGTGACCACAAGCCCTGTTCAGTCTCTTTAGTGAGCTCAGGCACAGAATCTACTCAAGGCAGCTCGTTGACGTTCAGAGTTTTAGACTTGGGGACATTTTGCATTTCAGCTTTTTAAGTTACAGATCTCAGCCTGTAGTTATTAGGTCACAATGGCAGCAGTGATAATGTGCACTGGGACTCGAGGGTCCCTGGGGCTGCCCACCTTTACTCTGATGTCACTTGCCTATCCTCTCTCAGCCTTAGGTACCTGGACAGCATGGTGTCACTCAGTGCTGTTATTCTCATCCCTTCTCATGATCATCCCAGCTCTCTCTGTTCAGCCCTGGTCTCCTCTGTCCACGTGCACTGACACACTGCTATGAAATCTGGCCGCAGAGCCAGCACAGCCAGGTAATCAAGCAAAGCTTGACCGGGAGGAGCCAAGCTGATTCTCCATATCCTGACCTCCTTGCCTGTCAGGATATTTACACATACATCAAATGGGTATAAACCTGGGGGTGGGATCCAAGTCTAAGTTTGCAGTTTGTTAATGCTTCATACACACTTTGACCCTCACGGGCCGTCCCTCACAGGTATTCTTTCTTACCTCCAGCAGTGTCTGCTTGCCCCACGCTCCTTCCTTCCCTCTCTTTCTTGGAAGCTTTGGCCTGGTGTATCTTGGTTCTTTTCTTCCTCTTAGCTTTGTCAACCAAATCCCTTCCCTAAAGGAAGACATTTAGGAAGAAGACTGTAATACATATAGGAATAATTTCAGAGGAGCAGAGAGTAAGGAAAGCCCTTTGTGGCCTGCCATCGTTTTTGATGTTAAGTCATGGTCTGCAGAGCTTGAAGCAAAGCAAACTGTCTCATGCTTGTGAGGCAGTGCTGCCACTGTTGATCAATGGGCTGAAATCATAGCCGGCTTTATTCAGTGCTGCATCGCGTGCTAACTTTAAGAAGAGCCCAGGCAGGCAGCAAGAGCCATGCCAGCCTTCACCTTCCCCCTGGGATGGGATTGACATGGAGGTTCCCCTTAAAAAAGATAGCAGAGTGGTTACCCACCTGCATTTTTGTTTGGCAATGGGGCCCCTGTCCTTCAGGAAGATGCAGCCTAGTGCAAGGTGCAGGCCTGGTGAGCAGACCATCGCTGGACCTCAGCCCTCACTGCCCCTCTAGGCAGGCGCTCTTATCTGTTAAGCAACCTGCAGATGGCTACATGGAGCCTTAGAGGGATCCCAGGCAGTGTTTCTGGACCGGACTCTTCATTCTCACACTCACGTGATTGATGGCAACTAGAGTCTTCTGTTTCAACAGTTTTGGTCTCCTTTTCTTTTTTCTTGGAAGAAGAGATATTGTCTCAGAACCCAATGTTCTTGGGCATGCAGGCTCATGTTCTAGAGGCCCTCCGTGCGGGTGGTGCACATTGTAATTTCTGTCCCTTTGAAAAGAGCAAGCCAGCAGTTGAGTTAAAAGGAGAAAGCCAAGTGGGAGCGAAGAGGGCATGTGGACAAAGGCCCACAGAGCAGCTGTGACAGACTGTTGGGATACTTGACATACACAGGTAATTTGTTCCTGCATAAGGGAGATGGTGGTTTTCACTTGGGGCGGGGGTTCCTTAAGGTAAGCCCTAAAACACAGACAGTTGGTAAAATTGTTTGCTTCTTTTCATTGCATGTTTACACCTTTGAGAGCTTGTTTGGAAGTTTTAGCAAGGAAATTCAAGTGTAACTCCAGGATACCCTTGACCAAAGAAAAACAGGCTCTCGTCTATTAGGGGAAAGTTGTCCTCAGTAGTGGAACTGGCAGCTTGGGGAGGGACATACATGGAACAGTGAAGGAGGAAGTCAGATCAACTGAATCAACCCTGGAATCAATTAATGGGGCAACCTGGCACTGTCAGATCACACTCACATTCTATGCCTTTAATTAACAACAGAACCACACAACTGAAATGTCTTCTATCAAAGGCTTGGCTGGAAAAGAAGAGTGACCTTTCAGAAAGATGAGGTCAAAAACATGCAGTTGTCCCAGTCATTCCTTTGGCATCCCTGAGTTTCATTCTTAATCAGATTCAGATGCTACAAGGTCATGTGTGCCCTGTCTTGTGTGTCCTAGTTGTCATTGCTATCACTGACCTATGCCTGTGGGTTGCAAGGACAGTGGCAGTGATACTGTGTGCTTGCTGGGTGCTAGACCTAGTCTTTTTCTATTTCTTTCAATGTATTTTCTACAGTGTTCTATCCCAGGGCTTTACTGTGGAAACTTAAAAAATATTTGTTGAATGAGGTAGATGGAATTTCCTGTAAATACATGAGTCTTTAAATCAGTCAATGTCACTCTATAAAAACTCACAGAAGTCTGGGTTAGAATTTGGTGCTAGGAAAACTTCTGTTTCCCCAAGGAACAAGTAGGCTGCAATGAGCACCATAGACCTGACTAATTGTTGCTTTTCTCTTTTTCATTTTGGAATCTGTGTTAAATCTGAATTTTAGTCACAGTAACTGTAATGAAATTTATCCTTTTTATTGTCCTCTCGATTAAAAAAGAATTGTTTGATTATTTTATTGGTTTTGGCTAGGAGTTGTAATAGATTGTTTAAAATATTTTAAGGGAGCCTGGCAGTGGTGGCGCACGCCTTTAATCCCAGCACTTGGGAGGCAGAGACAGAGGCAGGTGGATTTCTGAGTTTGAGGCCAGCCTGGTCTACAGAGTGAGTTCCAGGACAGCCAGGGCTACACAGAGAAACCCTGTTTCGAAACACACACACACACACACACACACACACACACACACACACACACACACAC